CGCCCTGCCCCCGTCTCCTCACACCTGCTCCCTGATTGTTCCCCTCACCTGTTTCCCATCCTCCCCCGTTACCTTTTGTATATTACCCTGTGTGTCTCACAGTCTCATTGCCAGTTTGTTGTACGTCACAGTCATAGTCATTCTCATTCTCATAGTCATCGTCTGTTTGTGTACGACCTCGTTTCTGCCTTCGACCTTGCTTTTTGCCTCTTGTTTTTGGATGCCTCTGCCTGACTGACTGATCTCCTGTGTACCAAACCCTGTCTGGTAATAAACCTGCCTTCCTGCCTGAACCCGTCTGTGTCGTGCGTTTGTGTCCTCCTGTTCTGAGTTTGTGAGTCCTTGACACCTACATGGGGGAGAACATGCAAACTCCACTCAGAAAGATCCCGGGTGTCTTCACCAGGATGCAAACCGGCGACCTTCTTGCTGCGAGGCAACGATGCTAACCACCGAGCCATCATGTTTAAAATCTTAAGTTGCCATAAACCTGCATGTACTAGCTAGTTAATCTGCAATAGAGGCAACACGTTGAATATGTTTGAGTTAGGCCTTGAGCTCAAATTAAAAGTGTGACCTGAAAAATGCAACCAGCAAATCGAATAGGCTGCAACTGAAGAGTTCATTTGGAAAAAACAGATAACTCCATCTTCACAAACCTTCAGAAAACCCAATTTTCCATCATCTACCTGAGACAATGTCAATCAAACTTAAATGATCTCTATTTTTGTAATTTCTACCAAGTCAAATCTACTCAACTTCAGTTTGATTGATATTATCTCAAGCAAACAACAAAATAATTTCAGACATACGCCATGCAGCGAGACCGACTCCGGTCCCAAACTGTCCCTTCAAGGACCTCCTGCATCACAGCTACGCCCTCTAAGGCACCATATGTGGTAACACTCCCTCATGTTCCCCATGAATATTAAACTGAAACTCAATTTTTAAAAAAAACCCCAAAACATCCCAAATCCTGTCTCAGCATCTGTCAGAAAAATCACAACCACGTATCTGACAACGTGACTTTTAATGTGAAAGAAAAATGATGTTTTGTTTTTGTTGGTCTTTTTTTATCACCCTCCTCCTCTTTCAAACCTGAGAAAGTCTCACCCATGAGAGACGATTTTAGCTTATCACAGGTCTTTTCTATGCAAAAGTAAGTGGAAAACTTTCTCTTAGGAATATTCACTTAAATTCCCAGGTGAAAAATCAAATCAACGTTGAATGCTTACTGCAGCTTTAACACTGGAACAAAAAAAAAAAAAGTTTTTTTTATTCAGCATGAGACATTTAAGCATTTAAAAGGGCTGTTTTTGCTGTGAAAAGATCCTTTTCTTCCTTGTCTTTCTTCTGTTTTAGCTCTTAGGCTTACTTTTCTTGCAAGGACTCTTACTGACTGCTCATTGTTCTACTTGTAATGTTGTCAAGTTAGCACATGATGTGAGGATGCTTTTCATAAACTTTTAGCTTTGCCTTTACCACTGTCATCCCCAGCAGACTGGTATCTAAACTGAGTGACCTGGAGCTTTCACAGCCCACCTGCCACTGGATCAAGGACTTTCTAACCAACCGCCCCCAGACGGTCAGAACAGGAAACCACCTCTCCTCTACACTTATGACTGTGCCCCCATTCATAATTCTAATTATTCAGTTTGTCAAGTCACGAATGTGGACAGACTTATCTCAGGTGGAGACGAGTCCACCTACAAAGATGACGTCCAATCACTGACGTATTGGTGTACACAGAGAGAGATCCTCCACAAAAAAAAAAAAAAAACCTGCAAGAAAAGCCTGCCAGTGTTCTTTTACCACTACACAGTGTGTCAGGAGAGCCCTCCAGAGGATTGTCGACACCACCTAGAGGATCGCCGGCTGTTCACTGCCTTCTTTAAAGGGCTTATTCAGCTCACAGTGAATCAGTAGAACCTTCCTAAATACCAATCCCATCCTGGACACACTCACAATCAGTCATGAACCGCACTGTTCACATTTTAATTATGTATAGTAACGAAACAGCTCAGTATAGTTTAAGAAATCCACAAAAGTGCTGTTTTTTTTTTCCACATGGACCAAACAGCAGATATTCCAACTGGCTTAAAATGAAAACTAAACATCCACCACTGCCACAGATGCAAACACCAGTTTAGCATCAGGCTGCAGTGCGGCTACTAGTCGCCCAGATTGTGTAGTTTAATCTCCAGAGGCGACTGATCTTGCATGCACAAATACACATGTACACACAGATGTGGGCCAGTCGTATCAAACCACGATGACTGTTTTAGTTCCATCTGGCTCATAAGCTCATGGTTATCCTGCACAGGAAAGAGCGTCTCTTTATTTTGCATCCGACGGTACGAACAGCAGAAGAATAAAACAAAACGCTGCCTGTGGAAGAGAATGAAACTGTTTGAACTAGATGCATGTATTCATCTCAGCATCAAAACACGGAGAGATTAATACCCCGGCGTGATGACCTTTTTATCACCCCAGCTCTCACAATCCCTCTGAAAACACAGAGAAGATGCTTCTGTTGCTCTGAACGCACCAAAGCAGCTCAACAGCGCCACTCTGTGGGGCATTTGGGAACTGAGCTTGTGTCAAATTTGCTTTCTCCCTTGTTAGTGTGGAAAAATATGAATGATTTCAGCAGCATTTGAATAAAGTTCTGATCATGGCTTTTCCTCGCTGAAAAATGTTGGACTCCGTGTTAATTTTGCATATATAAAGTGCGTAAACATTTAATGCTAAACATGTGAAATTTAGATATCTGGCAACAACCATGTGCTATCATGAGAAAACTGTGGCAGGGAGGAGCTCTACATTAATCACAGTTTCAAAGAGGCCTATCATGTGGTCCCTACAAGGTTAAAGGTGGAGCACGTGATCTTAATTCAGTACAGTTTTTGTCAAATTCAGTGAATATCTCATGACAGTCAACCAGCTGCCCATTATTCTGGTAGATTAATCGTAGTAACTGGACTTGCTTGAGTTCCTTGAAGACTCATCTCTTGGATGAGAGGTGGACCCACTTGTTCGTAGGTGTGAATGTGAGTGTGCTTGGTTGTCTGTCTCTAAGTGTAGCCCTGTGATAGACTGGTTACCTGTCAGGTAATCAGCTGGGATAGACTCCAGCCCCTCATGACCCTATTGAGGATTAAGGTGTATAGACGATGGATGGATGGATATTTGAGTCAAAAACCAATAATAAAGAAGAAGAATGGCACACAAAGTCCCAGCCTGCATGGTGACAGGACTGGCTCCTTAAATTTGTCATGTTTGTGTTCACACACGTGTAGAAACCTCAGCCGACATGGCCTGCGCTCTCAGGACATCATACAGTTGCAGGTCTCGAGAGTCAGAACCGAACTGGGCAAAAAGGCTTATAAATTTTCTGCCCCGTCTTCCTGGAATGATGTGTGGGACGATTTGAAATTGACACATCTTGTATCTCTGAGGAAATTTAAGACGATTACAAAAGACAGAGAAATAAGCAAAATTGGATCTTGTGGCTGCACTGTGTCATCATGTGATCCCACTCTTGTTTGTCTGTAGTGTGTAAACTGTATTTTATTTGTGTTTTGTGTGTTTGCTCTAATCTGTTTTGTGCTGCCCTCTTGGCCAGGTCACTCTTGAAAAAGAGGTTTTAAGGATATTGATTGATTGATGTATGAAGACTCAGAAGTCTGGATCTGTATGTTCGAGATTGTCATCAGCACACTGCAGCTTCAAGGCAGAAATGCTCAGCCCTGTCGTTCACCGCTTACTAGAAAACACCACAGACATGCCAACAACGTAACACACTTGACTTTCAGCCTCCAGTAATTGATCCAAAGACTATACAGAGTGAAACATGTATTATTACCTCCTTATTCTACAGCAGTCAGGTATATTTCTCTGCACCGTACTGCTCGTGATTTCTGATATATCAGCTATTTCAATAAAAGTAAAATTTAAGAACTTGAATTCCACATTTTCCTTTTTTTTTACACTCAAATAGTCTCAACGACGGTTAAATATGAGACAAGAGAAAGAAAGCTTTTTGAAGAGCTTTTAATTAAAAGCCTTGTACAAGAAACACACAGAAAGCAACAACAGTAACAGGTAACATGACACTGAATACATAATCTGTACAATAAGGGTTTGCAAAACATGCTTCAGAAGTTCAGATACATTACAATGTCATCATTATCCTCCGCCGCCGCCGCCGCCTCGTCATTTCCATTAATACAATGTACATAATTCATATCAGCATAAAACCAGACAAAACTGCAGTCTTGACACAATTAAATCAGAGTTTTCCTTCTGATCAAACCCATATTGGACTATTTTAAAAATGGCATTCAAATAAACAGCATCACATTGACATTATTATGCATATTTCAAAAAAGTATTAAAGTACAGTACAAATGAAAAAAAAAATGCTTAAAAAGAACAAATTTATTAAGCATCTTTATCCATACATTTAAACAAGGATCCTTCCTTTTTTTTCCCAATTAGTGCCAAATACATCTAGCACTGAAAATTACATCACATATAAATGTAAAACAATTCAAAAGGGGGGAGAAGAAAAAAAAGGCTTAGAAAGTCAAATAATAAAATCAAGAGCCCTATTTGGTTGAAAGACAGGCCACTATGTTGAGTTGTGCTACCCCATATGACAAAGAAAAAGAAAAGAAACGAAAAACATTGCTATCAACTGTTGGAAAAACATCGCTTAGCAGCCTAATACCTTACACATCTACCAACTGCAAGAGTCACTTCTATCCACCACTTAAAGATATTTAAGATATAGTCGATGAAAAAATCTATTCCAAATTACGATATATCCATTCGGAGAAGAAAATAAGCCTTTAGTTGACCACGTTTCTGGAAAATATAGGCTGTGTTTTCACTTTCAGTCAAGCAAGGATTGAAGTTAAGTACTGCCCTTTTTAAAAGAATTGAAGTTTGAGTCATAGACCATTTCAGAATCATTTTTCTTCATATAACGGATGTGTCATTTTTGGAATAAATCCTTCCATGTGTAACCTATGAGAGTATTGAAACAGTATTGACAACAACTAGAACCATCCAGTACATGACAGGAGAGCAGGCGACGTCACCCTCTTGTGCTAGCGACACAGGAGACGTGGCGCTCAGAGGTTTTGGGAAAACAGAAACCGATTAAAAGTTATTACAGTTTGCTCTAATGTAATCCTTAAAGTCACCAAGCTAAAGTCATGGTTTAGTGGAGTATTATTTTTTCTTTTTTTTTTTTTAGCTGTTCTGTGTAACAGGAGCCAACTAGGACGAGGTAAACGTCGCCTGGAGTGCAGCTGAGGGTGAACGGAGCAGCTATAAGGCAACACATGCGGAAGATTTTAAAATATTATACCACAGAGATACACCAGAGTAAGAGCCAAGGTCCGGGAAGGTCTAGAAAGAGCTGGCAGCACCAGAAAAAAGAATCCGTGTATAAAGAGCCAGGTTCATTTTAAGTACTTCTGATGCACTGGAAGGTCAAAAACTTCGATCACTTTCAAGCTTTCGGGGATTTAGATGGAAACAACCAGCAGTGAACGCGCTCGTCAAAGGTTCATGAACAAGAACTCGAGGGCGATGGATCAAACTATCTGAGTTCAAGCATCTTTTCTACCCATCAGGCTGCCTGACACGCTATCAGACTGTATTAAGAGTCCACGGAAAGACAAGCGCACCTGGTTTGTTTGAAGAACACGACTGCACCAATGTCCTCTCCAGTCAGAAGACGAAAGCGTCAGACAGCTTTGCCTTTCTAAAAAGGCAAAAGCAGCAAGGCAGGAAGAAAAACACTTTGCAAAAAGTCCACTTAGTCAGGAAATATAAAGCATCTGATGGACTGCCACCTCATAGTTTGACCAGAGAACTACAGAATTAAAACATTTATCAGCTGCAGACAAAACAGAATTTGTCTTGAGGTGATTTCCCACTGAGGAAACCAGCAGTAACAGAGGAAGTTTTCATGTTTCAGGCAAGAACAAGGTGTCCTTGTAATTAATTCCTCATCGTTCCTCTGCATGTGCTCAAGAGCACCACGTAATCTAAAGTAAGGACGTTACAAGGGTAAAAGAATCTGGGTTTAAAGCCAGGACATTTAAACATGGTGCCTTGCTCATAGAGACTTACGCAGAACAGACGCTGGCAAAACATGACCACTGTGGATGACTGATAGATTTTCAAAACCACAACATTTTGTTTCAGGATGGGCCCTGATTGGCTAGTGGTAAACCTGCAACATGTTATTGCATGTTTACTGCAAATACCACACATTCCTGTGCCAAGAATGTAAATAAAGAGCGCCAGAGAGAGCAGTTTGATCCCTGGCTCCGCTTCACGGCCGACCAATCACAACGAAAGGTGAGCGTAAACGTCTGAGCCCCCACAGAAAAGAAGGACAACAACATGTGTCCTCCAGTTCCTGCACTAGCCCTACGGATGGCACGAAGACACCGAACCATGCTACATGAACCACTTGTATTGACACGAGTACTTGAGAACATACTAGTCAAGAACAGTTACTGTAGCTAAAAGACTAACTGACAAGATCCAAAGGAACCAAGTGTGGGAAACTCTTTGTTTTACCCGCCAAAGTGGAAACTAAAGAGACAGACTCGCCCCTCGCTATTGGTCTTTATAAGCCAAAACTGTCTGGATTCACGCGCGGCAGACTTGAAATCACAGATTCGACAAGCTGCTATTTTTCACTGGTGGCTTCAGCCTGAACTGTGTTCAGCTCGTGGACCTTCTAGGCCTTGACAAGTTGGGAAGTTACTTGGCGCGATTCTAGCACACAGAGGAAATATCACAATTATTTGCAGGCCAGTTTAGAGTCTTGGTGGACGTAACAGAGTCGAAGGTGGTGGTGGGTGTGTGTGAGAAAACAAGGCAAGTAAGGAAAGACTGCAAGGACAGCAATAACTTAAAAATCTACTGTTTTTGTATATTCTTTTGCAGCTTTTAAGGTTGTGCGTGCATATAAATACTTACTCACACTGTATATATATGCATGTGCGTTCAAGAGAGCGAGAGGAGAAGGCCTTGAAAAATTGATGAACTACATAGAATAGGTTGTTTTTTTTTTTTGATGCAGTCAAGTGCATTGCATTTACCTCGCTGTATCGATGCAAGATCTGAGAGTCCAACTGTGTTAAGTGCAAAAACACATCACCTCATTTATCATTAACAAGCTGGACTTCCAATGAGACTCGGGAAATTGGCACAACACCTGGAGGCCGTCGATAGCGGCCCACGCAGCAGAGCGCGCCTCTAAATAGTATGTTTCTTTCACATACATCAAGTGTGCTTGGTAAAAGCTGGCCCCTCACACCGGACGGGTGGGGGGGGGGTTTCGCTTTTAGGACAAATTGCACCAAACAAGCTAAACTCAGCAAGTCTGAAGCAAGTGAAAGAAAACGGATACCATTTCCATTCAAGTCTGCTTCAAGGAGTCAGTGCTGTGCAAGTGGACAAAATATGGCAATTTAAATGACGAGGAGGGCGTATTAGCTGCCCCTTTTCGAATTTATACACTTCTTTTTAAAAAAAATATGCTTTTTTTTCTTCTTCTACTATTCAATGGCTGGGCGGTGTTAACATTACATTACATTACATTTCATTAATTATTATGCAAGTATGGACAAACCCTTCAGGTAAAGGTAGGGCTGAAGTGGCAACACTGGCATGATAACTTTTTCTATCATCAATGGCATCTTCATAACATCTGACCTCCTATGGCTTCGCTGGGGAGGGGTCCTCGGAGGCGGTGGCAGGAGGAGGGGAGGAGGCGTTTTCCGGGCTGGCAGAGGGTGAGGCAGGGCCGGAGGCAGGGGAGGGGAACTCTTTTATGGTGACGGTGACAAGGTTGGTGGTGACGTCCGTGACCACCACATCCTTGCAGCTCGGCGCCATTTCGGGGTGCCAGTCGGGGTCCCCCTCGGCAGGCACCCTCTGGGGTTCGGCGGGGGCGGAGCTTTGGTCCCCGGGAGTGACGGAGGGAAGCGTTGTGGGCGGCTGACGTTTGGCCCTGCGCTGGCGAGGATTTTTCCTGCCTCCCTCTGATGGCGCCGAATGGTCCGGGGCACCCTCCTCCTCTTCGTCTTCCAAGGAAGAAGAGGGAGAGGAGGGGAGGCAGGGAGACGCCGACGCCGCCGCCGGGTTTGCATCTGAGGACGGGGCAGGAGCAGATGGCTTGGAGCTCTGGCCCTTCTGGGTCTCTGTGTGGGGTTTACTGGACTTGGCATCCTTGCTGGAAGGTGATGCTCCGGTGGCAGGCTGAGGCTTTGTAGCCGTGGCGTTGGTGGGAGACTTTCCTTCGGACCCGCTGGAGCTGGAAGGAGAAGGAGGTGACTGGTACTGCGATGAGGTGGTGCGTCTTTCCCGAGCCCCCGTGCTGGAGCATGAGCCTGGGTGGGCGTGAAAAGGCACAGGGCCTCCACACTGCAGCCCAAATGGTTTTCCATACATCGGGAACCCCAGCATCTTCAGAGGAGGCTGGAAAGGTCTATAGGGGGCCTCTCCCTTCTTCCCAATGATGCGATTGCGGGAAGGGATGTTTTGGCGTCCTGCTGCAATATTCCTACTGCCCGCGGCCGTGCCTCCCCTACCTGGCTTGTCGATAACCTTCAGATTGAGGATAATCCGGCCCCTCTTGACCTCGCGAGGTTTGACTCTGCGGTTTAGGATGCGGACGGTCTCAGAGAAGGGGGAGACGTGCATGCGGGAGGGGAAGCCGCCGGGGTTGGAGAAGGTAGCCGCCATGGGGTCTGAGCGAGGCAGGGGGCGCCTGGACATCCGGTGGCAGCGGTGAATGTCTTTCTTCAGCTTGTGGGTGGCGGCAAGGGAGTTGAGTTTAGGGGAAGGAGCCACAGTTGAGGAAGAGGAGGATGACGACGGTAGATGATGAGGCGGGGCGGAGGAGGAGGAGGAGGAGGCGGGAGCTGCTCGACTGGAAGCGGACGAAGAGGAACGCGAGGTGTTCCGGCGGCTGTTGGAGGCTCGGCTGCTCGTCTCCCTTTTCGGACCACGAGACTGAGGGAGAAAATGCATTTAAGAAGCCACTTTAACACAGTGAGCTGTATGTTTGCACCTCCCTAAACACATCTGGTGCTGCCACTTGGAAAAGCGAGACTAGAGAATACACATTTTGTCATTTATCGGAGTAGCTGTCATGGTCTGTTGTCTTACAACTGGTTGAGAAATTATTGTGTAGTTAATACCAGTCATATTTTTTTGATTGCAAAATACTGACTGTGATCTAAATGTTACAATAACTTCCATTTACTTGTATAAAAACCAGCTTGACAGGAAAACGTCTACATGGTTTCATCTTGTGCTACACTACAATGGCACCAACTGCTCACCTCGAGGCATTTAACTTCTATTATTCCACTGACTGCATTTTGATGAGCATCTTTTGCTGATTATGTCATGGATTTAAATGCAAAGTCAAACACCAGAGAACATTTTGTTTTCCAGCCAAATGAAAACGGGAGAGTCCAATAACTTGAAGGAGAGGATTCGTCAGCCCTGCAGCAAAAAGCCAGTCATCTAAAACTAACAGTACGAGTAAATGTACGACAGCTGTCAACTAAAATGTCACAGTGTTGTGCATGGTGTCGATGAGTTACTACATAAAACAAGTGGTTGAGATCTTGTCACATCAATATACACTGTAGTCTGTAAAGGCTGTGGGGAAAACAGCGCTATTTACGTCCAATGTTATTTGAGTTTAAAACCAACTGTAGTTTGATTATAGGCTGGATAGAGCTGAAAATTGTGAATTTTTAAGTCCTTAAGGATTTTTATCAATCTGCAAGTCACCTAATCAGTGCTTACAAGGAGTTTTTAGGAGCATTTAGTTGGATCTAGCACGTTAAAGTTTAGAAACACAGCTATCTATAGTCAAAAATATCTACGTGAGATTTCTCTACTGTCGCTCCGGTTAACGCTGCCAATCTAAAAAAATCCTAAAGCTCCTGTACAGCTGAATGTACAGCTCTGATTACGATGGGCTGGTCCATTTTTCATGCTATATAGGACATTGTAGTCAGACTCAGAAAGCACTTTTCTATGGCCAAAGGTTGCAGGCTTTAACACCTATCTGCTTGCAACACAATGATCTGTGAAAGTGATAAAAACCTAAGTAGGTGAACCGCTGACTTCTGTTCACACTATTTCACAAAGTCAAGACACACGCAGCGATGCACAAGACTTAAAATACACTTCGAACAGGCAAGACGGCCTGCTTCAAGTAGGTTAACCCCATTCGTAGTGTAACAGCAGAAACCACAGACTAAACGTTTAACTTCCCTGTACGGTGTTGCAACCAGAACAAAGGTACGTATTTGACATAAATTGTTTGAATTATTTTTTGCATTTAGCCAAGTTGTAGTTTTGAAAAAGCACTTGTTTTTTTAAGCATTTTGGGAATTACGTGAGAAGGATATCCTAAACAGCTGGACACAAGCTAGCTTTACGACCACCGCTCATGTGTCAGCGTCCATTAAATACTATTCTATATACAGCTGCTCACGCTAATATGGAAACATTAAAGCAAACACTAAAAACTGTACCTTCATGACAAGGTTTTTGGGTTTTGGTCCCCGTTTCTTTGGCCCATGCAACTCTCTGTCCCGCTCCCTATAAAAAGAAAACGATCGTTACAACAATACAGAGAACAAAAGGGGGAAAACAAAAACCTGAACATTGACTAAAAAAAGAACGAGACAGTGAGAGGAAATATAACAAATCTAAAGAGCTGACAGCGATGAAAGCTGTGGGTGTGTGAAAGTAGAGCAAGCGGGCACAGAGAGCATCTCAAGTCTGAACAGTCTGGTTCTCTGTCTGCTCGTGTCCGCTTCAGTTTCCATTTGATGTGTCATTTTAGCTTTTCCTGTCCATTTACGTTTACTGTAAACATCTGTGTGAGTCTTTCAAGGGGCTTGGCAACGGACAAGAAGAAGTTGGACTCTTTTTTTACAATCAGGCATTAGAGACATTAAAAGCGGAGATGAAAGCAGGAAAAACACAACTGTTTACATTGAGATACATGGGAGTTAACTTAAAATAATCCGAACCTTGGTCAAATTCTAGGCACAATATGCACAAAAAAAAAACACTCAAAGTGCATGTGAACTCCCAACGAAGCAGCTTTACTCACTTTTGCTCAAAACCCAAAATCAGTCTGTCATCCAGAATATTCTCCTCTGGCTCCCAGGTGCTGTGCCTACAGGAGGACGGAGCAACATGAAGAAATCACACAACAAAGGACACAATTTACCACCAGTGAATTTTTACACCCCCTCAGGTTGAATCTGAGCACATTATAAACAGAATCGACAAACGCCTGTGCTGTCACATGTAAGCTGCTGTCATTCTGAAGAGCAGCACTTACTTCATTGCCCATCCTTTCCATTTCACCAGGTATTCAAGTTTTCCCTGCAAGAAAAACACAGATGGTTGATTATCAAAAACAGCTCATATACGAGAAGACAGATTTTACACAAACACCTTTTGCAGCTGTTCACCGTTTAGTCTTATACACATTTGTGGGATTTTCTGAAAAGCAACATCACATTAACTTAACTGTGTACTTGTGACTTTTAAGGCTCTGTATGTTAGCTTCTTTCTTTTTTTATTTAATGTATTTCAGTTTTTATTCTGCAAAGCAATACTGTCAGTTGCAGCTGGGGATTTCCTAACATTTGACTAAAAACAATAATATATTAGGTATCACTGTTTTTTTTTTAAAGGATGACTCATTCTTAGCATCACAAGTATGATGAGTTTATCTGAAACCTTATTTTTGTTCTTGGATGGGAAACATTTCACAGAAAAAGGGTGCAACTACGAAGTTGCAGCAGACATTTCAGAAGTGAGTGGAGGCCTGGTGGGCCTGCGGGTTAACTTTGTATACCACCACTTCAGATGGCAGCCTGCCAAAATTTATAGGGTCTCCTCTGGGATACAAGTCCTGCTGCACTGATAATACCCTGGAAAACTATCAGAAGTCCTTCAGCAGCTGTACAGATAGACGCCTCTCACAGCAACAGCATAAGAGTGCAGGGACTAATGTTTTGGCAACCATCTTTCACACCATGCAGAAGAAAGCCAGTCTAAAAGAGCCTTTAATGTGGCTGCTACAGACACCTCAACCACAGGCTGCAAACTGCAGACTGTGACCGTATAGCTTTAGCTTCCATTAGCTGGCAACGAAATCGGGCCCCTCCATTTCATAGCACAGCCCACATCCCATCGCCCGGACTGCCTTGTTCTGCAGCTAGCCCCTTCTTTGTGTCGCTGTTTTTATTGCCCTGCCAGTGCCTGAATATACGAGCCATGACTGATAGCCTTGCTAGTTAGCTCCTAGCTAGCTCTGGCTAGCAAACTAAAGGCATCCGCCAGCCACAAGGCCTCCGCAGCATTGCATAGGCGCAAGAAGACAGCCCCGAGCCTATGGACCGGAGCTGTGACGCGCCGCGCTGACCGCGGCCAACATCTGCAGCCAGTCAAAACACGCGGGACGGCGGCGGCTGGAGCTCACCTTACGGACGCGGCGTTTCAGTATGGCTTCCGCGGCGAAAATGCGATCTCCCGCCGCCGAGGGCTCCATGTTTCATGCCCTAACTGAGCTACCTGTCTCTGTTTGTCTCTCTCCTGGCGACAAGCTCCGCTGTCTGCTCGGGTCGACCACAGCCAAACTGTGTGAGAGGCAGCAGACTCACACTCACTCACACACTCACACACAGACACACACTCTGAGCGCTCCAGCGGCGGCAGCGCGGCCAGCCTGCTCTGTCACGTGGCCGGGGTCAGCCCCTCTGGTCGCCCTGGCAACGATGAAGACACTCACGAGGATGCGAAGAACCGCGCGCTGCTTTGAGCCTCCACCATCGCTGTCAGGATGACAGGCGGCGCCATGAAAACTCCTCCCTGAAACACGGCGAAACTCTCCGACTTCACAACCAAAATAGCGCCAAGTAGAGTTTTAGACGTCTCCTGTGTGGTTGGTGAAGGCAGCACCCTGAAAAAACAAACTCTGAACTCAAAACTCACCTCTTTCCAAGACACTCGCTCAGGTTAGGATTTCAAAAACACTGACGTGGGAAGCAGGGAACGTTCCCACAACATTAGCTAACATTACCTACAAGTTGTAATAATGTTTCAAAGAGAACATTTTATTATTATGTTCAAAGGACGTTTTAAGGATATTTGTCGTTTCAGATAATGTTTTTATGAGGTTTAAAGTGAGCTGAACGTTCAGAGGATGTTTGGAAGATGCCGTCAGATGATGCTACATGAAAACAAAAGAAAAACTTTCACAAGCCAACATTTAAAAAGATGTTTTCGATGTTATCCAACCCTAAAAAGACAGAATGAGTTTTACTGTAATTTAAGACATTTTACCTTCAACATCAGATTTAGAATCAGCTTTAATGACCAAGTAACATACAAGGAATTTGGTTTCGGCTGTTGGTGTCACTCTAGGAATGAGCAGGAATAAAAGAAATAGTAAAAAATAAAAAATAAAGTAAAATAACTATAGAAAGAAAAGAATAAAAATAAAATTAATAATAATAATAATAATAATAAATAAAATAAGATAACAAAATATGCAACATTCTGAGGATGTTCTGAAAATCTTGCTGTTGAGAATGTTCTTCCATGAAACATTCCCGTCATGTTACATAGTAACAAGGGAAGAATGTTTTCAATGCAACATTCAGAAAATGTTTTTAAAGAATTTTTTTTTTTTGGTTGTGTCCACAAAGAACTTCATCCCGCCTTTAAAAACAACGTTCTGTGAACTAAAAGAAAACTACCTGCTGAAAACATTACTAGAACTTTGCAGAACTTTCTCAGAACATTTTTAGAACAAAACAGCGTAGCTGTCCCACCACAGTCACCGAAAACTAAATGTTTTAATTATTTAAATTTTGTGTTTCTTTTCCCCAAAACCTATTGGTAAGATGTGTATGATTATTATTTTTTATTATATTTTTATTTTGTCATAGTAATTTGTTTTTTATTTTCTTTATTTATATTTTTAACACAGCACATACTGTGTTTCAACTCGAAGGTAACGGCGTTTCTAATAACACTAAACTCATAGTGTTTTAATCGGAGTGTGCCGTGACGTGTAGATTTACAGCCTTACACCGACAACATTCTGCAACACCATTCCCAATCGCATTTACAAGGGAATTAGACCGGCGTTACAAGAAAAAGAAGCTGGCCTTTCAAACTTAAAGTTAGTGCCATGAAACATGAAGCAGCTAAATTAAACTCATCATTCCCCTCATCATTCCCTGTGCGAGCTCTTTTCCTGCTATGACATGTCAAAATGTCTCCTGTGAAAAAGACCTGCGGGAGCTATTCCACAGTCCCTTGCAATCCTGTTAAGGCTCAAGCGTGTGTAGGTAATGGATCAATACTTCTTTTGATTTATTGTGTTTTTAATAATATAGAGATATGAATAATATAAAACAATGATTAACATGTAAGGGTCCAATATAACACTTTTGCTGAAAAGGGACAGAATAGGGTTCCTTTAATATAAACACCCCCAAGTTGCTGAAATATTTAATTGTAAATCATGGCTGAAACTTTGTCCCTAAAACGTCTCCCATAAAAATGATGCCGTTATCTGTGCAAGAACCTGGTAAACGGCTTAATAGTGATATTACCCTCTCGTGGCTATAACCCACGAAAAGCTCAGTGGATCTTTCTCTCAATGGTTTGTTGTTTGTTTAAAGTTCAAACAAGAGTCTGTGGTACATTTCCTGCTAGAGGAAGGAGTGCTGATTCAGGAAATGATTCAATGGGTCATACAAAGACAAAGGACAGATTTGGTTGCACCGATTGGAGAAGCTACTTTTTTTTTTTTTACTTTTAGAGTTTCAAGCTCCTTGATCTTGCTCACACTAAAATGTTCATATTCAGAATGTTTTAATGTTGAGAATAAAGCAAAGGCAGCATTCCCTCTTAAAATTCAGTTTAGACACTCTATACCAGCCTGCAGACGGCTCGAGACGGGGTTTGGAGCATCTACTTGTTGACATCGAACACATCTGGTTTTGACAGCTACAAAATCTTTCCTGCCTCACCATTTCCTGCAAATGATGGGAATAGCATGGCATTAATAGTGTCTAAAATCTTTGTGCTGAGGGCGACAAATGAATAAAGACCAGAAATTTTACCCAAGGGAAAAAAAGAAAGGCATATCCCCTCTTTTACCTCTTCTACTAAATAAGCTTCAACTTATTGTACACTTTAAACAGCAGGCAGCCATTGCAAAACAACTTTTGTCACTCTCACGTTGATTTATTTTATTTTTTTAAACAACTGTCAAGCAGAGACAGCTATTGTCATTTCCAGACTAAGATCGTATAGACTTTACTAGGATTTTTGAGGTCACGATGGTTAAGTAAAGTGAAGTAAGGACGTAGTATTACTGCTTTTACATAAGGAACTGAATCTAAAGAGTCTTAACGGCACAGTCATGTGTGTCACGGGTGTTTCACAATGGCTTTTGAACCCAGGGTTGATTGAAAACTAAAATCTATATACTTATGCAGCATCACTGAACCATGCAGACACATTTAGTATAGTTTTTATGCAGTATGGCTGATCACTGTTTGTAGCATGTAAGTCGCTTAACCAGACACCTGATGTGTTTTATCTTTGTATATTCCTTATACAGCCTTGTGCCATTAAAAAAAAAAAAAAGGAACTTCTCTACATTTTTTTTCTCAAATACTATTTCTGTTAAGTTTTTTTTAAAAGGTTCTGGTAGTGTTTGAGGGTCATAGTTTGGGTTCTTAGAGGTCGTGTGGGACTTTCCAGCTTGAAGAGAAGCCGAGCATCCTCTATGTGTTAAGCCCCGCCTTCTCCACCTAGCACGCCTCTCCTCCCTGAGCTCGGATTGGTTGAGCTGACCGTCAATCACGACTAAGCAGCAAGCGTGGTTGCAGAGCCGCGGTTGTTGATGTATGTGTCAGAAGTCAGGCGGTGAGCGCAGACAGCAGCTAGCAGGTAAGCATGAACACACGGCAGCCACCGGGTTTTATACGCTTTAATGCGATTAGCTGCGGTTGGCAAGGGGCTAACTAGCTGTGGTGTATGTGCTCAGGATGGTTTGAGGTCTTTGTTTTAAAAACACCAACTAAAGGCGTGTTTCAGTGACAGTGCGTGCTGCCTCCGCGGTTTAGCTTTGGTATCATGTCAAATCGATTCTTCCCAACTTTGGACTCGTGAGCTGCATGACTGGAGCCACTTCTTCATTTAAATGAGCCCCAGTTACAGTCAGCTTTCATGGCTAGAAGAAGTAATAGGAAGCGGGGAGTTTACAGCTAACCTTAGCCCTGCTGGTAATACCAAGAGGATGGCATTAATAATCTAAACCTCACAGTAAGATGTTTTTGATAGTGCAGGTCGTTATTCCACTTATCTAGCCGCAAATCAGATGCTGTCAGCAGCCATAATATGTATTATCTGGGATATTACACTTGTTGCTCCTCCTGATTGGTTACATCCTGTCCCGGGGGAAGGATGAATCATTCATTAATGTTGACAGCAATCCTGTGGCAGAGCAAACAGAGCTGCCAAAGAGGGAAACGTTACTACATGTGCAGCCCTGCTGAGATCACAGACACTGTGCTGGAGATAGCTTTGATCTTATTTAATCTGTACGTTGTCAGGTAACAATGCAGTTCCTGGGCAAGCTGTTGGACACCGTCTCCTCGGTGTCAACCCTCTTCACCAACCCTTACCGGGTCAGAGATGTGCCGCTGTCTGACTACGGAGGAGGAGGCAAAGTCCTGCTGAAAGAAGAGGGACGCATGGTCCTGTACAAAAACACACAGTGTCAGTCATGGGACTGTCTGCTTATGTGTCCCGAGACACCGACTGTGGTTCTGAGGTCAGTATTGATCACATCACGTGAGGAATGGTGTAATGCCTGTCATCTGTAGTGTTGTACGGCCACCAAACTAGTTTAAGGATGCACATATTATCGTTTAATATACAAACTTCTGCAGATGTGGTTACTACTTTCATCCAGCGTTATGCCATTGATTTAGTTTAGATCATGGACAGCTTCACTCAAGTAAAGCCTATTATTTTTGAATGAGTCACTGTTGAGTCATTCAGCTATAGATGTGAAAACAGGCTTAAGGAAAGATAGCAGGAGCTTGTGACGGTTTAGCTGAGGTATTTTAGGTTTTTATTTTTAAGTATGTAAATAAGGGGTGCCAGCCAGGTCTCTCTCCTGGCATGTAAGATTTTTTTTTCTTTGCATAAAACACCAAGCATCATACACAAAGGATGCAAGCAAAAAAAATGCTTAATTGCCTAGCAGTTGAACAGAAAAAACCCAATCGCCATGACCAATCATATATTCAGATATAATCATCAACAGAAAATATAAGCACAGACACAGGAAACAGTCCAAAATATGTCCACACAGTTCTTTTTAAAGATATTTAATTTATTCAGTGCAGCTCAGTTCAAAAGAAACAAAACATTTTGGCCGTTTCACCTTTCAGAGAAAAACAATACCAGTCAGTTCAGTCCAAAAAAACTAGGAGATCCACTCCATACTTCAGGAAGGTCTTCAGTTTGTTTGCCTTGACTGAAACCAAACTCTGAAGTTGTCAGAGGTTATTATTCTTTCTGTATCAGTGGAGCATCTCTATGCAGACAGTATGAACTTTGCTGACTTAATATCAGATGTCTATAAGCAAATATTTGTTTAACATCTCACAACATGTTAAAGTTGCTTGTAGAACTTAGAATAGTTGTTTCTTTACAGCAAAATTGTTGAAGCCATTTTCATAACCTGAGCATTCTTTTATCACAGTTATTGCAAACATTTATACTGTGAACATCAGTGGTGTAAAAGTCAATTCATGGCGGGAAAAAACACAACTGAATGCAAAATTGCACACAATGAGTCACATCCAGTAAACATAAGGCACCTTTTGAAGGCAAGGTAACCAAGAAGTAAAACTGAGATAAACTCAGAGACTCGAAGCTCTTTGGAACGATCCTTCCTTGTGGAGGAAAATACTTCTTGATCTTATTATTCTTATCTAAGCTGTAACTTGTACTGTTAGCACATAGTATTAATACATTCCTAGTTTTAGGCACAAGCTTAGATTCTTTCTTACAGTTCTTGTGAAATTCAACTGTGTATCTACTGCACTGCCTGAAGACTCTTTCAGGTGGTGTCAGAGGAGGATGCCATGAACTGGTTCCCGCAGTACGCACTCAAACTCCGACCCTTCTATGAGACCCTTCCTCTGAAGGCCGAGACTGCACAGCCGATCGTGGACTGCATCCGCAGCCACCCGGACTGGAGCTCCGCCCATATCGCCGTGGAGACAGGCCTCAGAGAGTGTCTCAAACATAACTATGTCCAGAGGTAAGATGAGACGTGATGATTTTAGTGGTGGTTCTGATGAGGACTGTAAAGGTCTCTGTGAATCTTGGAGTTATTCTTTTTGATTATTCGTTTAGTTTGTTTCACATGATTTCTTCCATTTTCCAAATTATGTCATTTTTAGGGGAAAAAAATTTTAAAAATCCATGCAGCAGTTAGTTTTAAAAGCTTGAAAGCTGCTTAAGACAGTTAATCCATCACAGTGGACATTTAATTGCTGTAGTTTCTGTTAAAGTTTTGCAAAAAGTTCTTCTAATACACGTTGCTTTCAGTAGTTGTTTTGCAGGGAAATTTAATGGGAAAGACTCTATGAGGAGACGTGAACGTCATGTCGAGGAAATTCAAAGCAAACTTTTATCTTATCTTGAGTTTCAAAGCTTGTGGTTTTGCTGCCAAATGTTAGAACTGGGACGCTGGAATGTCCCAAATGGACAAACCAGAAAGAATTTTCAAAACTGTCCTTGCTTGGCCTGCATTGCCACACCCCGATAACATGAGCTCACCAAAGAATAGAAGCTCTGCAAGCCAACCTTCATACTGATATGAATAAACTTATAGCAACCAAGAAGGAAGGAAATTACTTTGAGACTTACTTATTCTTGGAAAAAGTATTGAGATGTGCACGCAAAAGTACTTGTATGGTTGCTCAGTGTGACGAGCTCCCACAAATCCAATAAACTTTTCATGTTTCCAGTCAGATCAACTCTCGGGATGCATCCGGCCAGACGCCGCTGCATCTGGCATGTGAGCGAGGTGACTTGCCCTGTGTGAAGGAGCTGCTGGAGGAAAGCCAGGCCCGCACCGACATCAAAGACCGCAACGGAGAGACGCCCATGCACAGCGCCTCCAAACAGGACTCTCCTGTCATCATCCAGGTGAGAGGAAATGCTTCAACTGAGGTTTGGTGGAAAACAATGGGTTCGTCTCCACCCAGCTGATCAAAAAATTACGGCAACACTTTTTGCAATTCATCACATCACTCTGTAGGGCTGAAATCGCAAAGGCTGCAGTTTAAAACATACTTTATGCAGAAAGTGTGACTCAGAATTTAAACTGTCATGTTAATGGTTTTACACATTCATGCTTTTGATGCTATCTCATGTGGTAAGGCTCTGTTACATGTTGTAAATCTATTACACAGTGAATATTGAACTGAAGCTTGACTTAAAAACATTATATCGCAAATCAAATCACAATATCTACCAGAAGAATTGCAATTTTTCCAGAGCTTCTTACTGTTATGAACCATGTAAACCCTCTAAACTGCATATAACGTTGATTTTCCGTCCATGTTTCCTCCAGGTCCTGTGCTCGCGGCTGTGCTCGGGGGTGAATGAGCTGAACAACAACGGGGAGACGCCGCTCCACGTGGCCTGCCGTTTGGGCCGCGTGGAGTCCGTCAAAGCCCTGTTGGGGGGTGGAGCCAAGTGTGATGTCATTGGCGGGACGGGCTACCCCATTCACATGGCCATGAAATACAGCGAGAAGGGGTGAGTGTGAGAGAGAGGATGATGACAAAGACTGAAGATGTTTTTGTGGCCGCAGAACAGCGTCACCGGCGCTAAAAGGGTGACAGTGTTTTCCTCAGTGACAATGAACAGTTTCGCTGGTTTACCTCCCGACCTGCTTTGATTAAAAGTGAAACTCTGACGGTACATGTATCACGAAGAGTATCTGCATTCTGCTGAAATGAATATTACTGGGCCTTTGAAGTGTCTGCGTTGCAAAGGAAACCTGTAGAAGTATTTAAGGACAATGCTGTAAAGAAATCAAACACTTTGTTTAAAGACGCTAAAACTGCAGAACTAATATAAACTGTAGAGCAGTGGCGGGTGGTGACAGTGTTTGTTGGGGGCCTGCAGTCTGCAAATGACCTTTTATTTAAATCAGAAATTAGAATATGAGTAACATCAGGAACAACTATTTACAGGAAGGCAAATGTTCTACCTTTAGAGGATATTCTAATCATAATCTAACATTACTAAGACTTACCAGAACTAAATTTCAAAACCATTCATCAAACTTTCATCAGTATTTACAGGATATTCAGGGCTCCAGACTAACTTTTTCACTGGTACGATCCAGTTTCACACTCTGTTGCACCTCCCACCTGGTCAAAGGCAAAACATATGAGTTTCTGAACATTTTCTTATTGATAGACGATTTACTGATGCTCCCTGAACGCCCCACATAGCAGGCTGTGGTAGCTGCTGTTGGTGGCTGTGGTGTGCTCTGACAGGGTGTGACCAGAAATGACTTTAAAAATAATAAACTAGGACGTTCGGATGTCAGAGTTGTTTGAGGTTAACCCATTTACATGTATTCTACACGTGGTCTTTTCTATGAGCAGTCTTCTCTCCATTGACAGCATGGCCGATGCATTAGGCGTCACGACAGTAGCTGTCCTCTAGTACAGCGGTCTTCAACCTTTTTTGCACCACGGACCGGTTTTAAGCAAAAATTTTTCTACGGACCGGTCATTACGCTCATAGCAAATAATAATAGTTTTTTTTTTCTATTGAAAAGTTTCATAAATGAATAAAATTAATTTTTATTGCTTAATATGTTTACTTTTTCTCCTGTCTCAGTATTAAGTCTCTCCCACTTTCCAAAGCAGCTCTCCAGAGACGTTTGTTGTTGACTGACGGCTTCGTTTAGCAGCCGGGCATAAAAACTGACAGTCAAGTGCGGGAAACGAACACAAACGGACGTGACGGGAAGACGAGCTAGTCATTTTTCAAAATAAAACACCCTGCAGACTCCGCTGGAAATAAAAAAAAAAACAATAAAATATTTTTATTCTATCTGTGCGGCCCGGTACCAAATGACCCACGGCCCGGTACCGGTCCGCGACCCGGTGGTTGGGGACCGCTGCTCTAGTAGAAGAGGAGGGGAAAGGCTGTGTGACAGCGTCAGAAAGCGAAGTCGTAAGAACGTCAAAGGACAGTTTTGATATCCAGCCACAGAAGACAAAAGCAAATAAAGACAAAATTAATTGGTTAACAGCTAAAGTGGACGGGTCCAGGACGCACTAAGCTGTGCGCCCTGTGAGAAAGTCTGCAGCTTCCAATCAGAGCCCGGGCCGAGGTCACATGATCATAAAAAGTTTTTGAGCCACATACACACTCATGTGGCGGCGCCCCGCATCCAGGAAGTGTAGAATTAGTAAACACGCAGTAAAGACTGATATTACATCTGTTAATAATACAAAGATAGTTAATGTGGCAAAATGATATGAATTTTATGATTAATTTTATTATTATTTTGTTATAATTAATTCAAATTGAATTTTACGTTTGAGAACTACTTTTTGTCTGGTCATTAGTCGTGGGGGTGCGGTATGGACCAACCGCACTGCTGCAGAGCCTTTTAAAAGAGAGGCTGAAATTGACAGCTTACAAAACTGCAGAATGTTTTACAGATTTTAAAAATGCTTCAGTTAATTAAATGTGTTTTTTTTTATTATTATTTTGTGTTTGTCAGCTGTGTGGAGGAGATCCTCAAAGCAGATGCCGGACAGCTCCATGCTGAGGACTCTTTGTATGGAGGGACGCCTCTCCACTGGTCCAAAACCGCTGAGGTGACAGATATTACATCATGTGTTTTGTGGATAGAAATTCATAATGAGCTGCTTAAATGTCCTTTTTGCTTTGTGATCACATATCTCTTGTAAAGTGCACTTTGTGAAGCTGCGGTGAATCATCACATGGACAGTGGTGGTTTGCCTGTAGTTGGTGTAGCTGTGGGAGTTCTGGTCTCTCAAATGTACACGTCTGTGATAGAGTGATTTGCAGATCGTCAAAGTCTGACTTTGTGTTTTCTATCTTTGGTGCCAGATGTGTCGTCTGCTGCTGGAGCATGGCTGTGCGGTGAACTACCTCAGTAAGACCGGAGAGAGCGCCCTCCACATTTTGACCAAGAGGGGGCGCTTTGAGGCGGCCATGGTGCTGCTCACCCACGGGGCGAATGCCAACCTGAAGGGTCAGGACGGGAACACAGCCCTCCACCTAGCGATGAAGGTGTGTGTACAAGATAGAGAGATGAGGATGATGGTCTCGCAGAGGTTGCAACACAGCACAGGGGACGGATGTTTCTTGAATCGAAAATATTCTTGTTTCTTTTATAATGAGAGCTGCATCGTTCAGGTTTTCTTAATGAAAACACAGCTATGATGCAGCTACTTCAAAATGGAAATAGATGTATTAAAAAGATGAATCACTGAATGTATTACATGTTACAGATTGATAATGTGACAAGATCTTTATTAGATGTGTTTTTAAAGGAATACTTATCCACATATATTCCAACTCTGTTTCTTAGATGGACCACATAGAGTTGATCAAAGCTCTGATTGTGTTTGGAGCTGATGTGGAGATCCACAACGACCTGGGAGAAACACCTGGACTCATCGCTGCCCGCACCAGCAAAGGTAAGCGGGAGAGGAGGGGATGCTGACAGCGCTTTATACTGTGAGGAGAAGAGAGTTTCTGACACGAGGAGGTGTGCAGGAGCTAAATAAGACATTTAAAAACCAGCCTCGCTTCAGACAATTAAATCAGAACTCAATGTGCCTGACCTAACAAACCTGCTTGATCTCATCAGTTTTATTAAAAGCATGTGCCCCACCATAGGTAGTAAACATTATGCATGAACATGAGTGAATTTTAGAATGTCCAAAATGCTAAACATCATGCCATCTTCACTTAATTAGTCAGTATATGAAATCTTGTTGTTAATAATCGCTTTTTGACTCTTTAGGCCACACAGTGTAAGACAAGATCAGACTTAACTGATCCTCAGAGGGTCTACTGTATGTGACATTTAAAAATATTTCATATACCAAAGCTAAAAATGTTTGTCGGTGTAGACGTCCTTTCACTTTCTTTTTTTAAAATTTGTTTTCACCACTCACTGTAACATCATGAGAAGCTAGGCCCACCAGTCTTGGAGGAGAAATTCAGGTGCATTGAAGCTTCGTCCTTCTTCTATTCTTCTGTGTTAGTGAGAAAAATCCCACCAGAATGGAGCACGTTAGATTCATTTGTATTTCATTTTTGCCCAAGACTGAGCCAAACTGAATATATTACATGCAGCTGATAGAAGACAATGATTTTATGATGCACCTTTTAGAAAGAACTGCATTTTAAAGGCCTGAACATCTTCAAATGTCACTTTGATTGCTTATTAGGGACCTGAACGTAGTCATTCCTGTCTTGGACCTACTCGTACTGTCAATACAAAATTATTGCTTGAGCAGATCTGATGTTTGCAGAAAACCACTGACTTGATACTCCGAAGCAGAAAGGGCGGTAAATTGAGTTTGCTGTTACTTATTGATTTTGAAGATGCATGATAATCGCTAACAGCTCGCTTATGTTCTTGCTTTCTTTCTCTCTCTCTCTCTCTGCTATCCATCCATTTGTATCTGTCTCTTCTTTCTCTCTGCTGTTTACGTCGTGTGTGTGCATGTCCAACACGTTGCCTTGCTCGTGTGTGTGTGTGTGTGTGTGTGTTAACATGAAAGGTCCTAATAGAAAGATACTGCTGGACATGCTGTGTAGTGTAGGAGTGCAGCGTTGCCTCCCTCCCTCCCCTGGCAGTCCTCCTCCCGTCTTCAACAAGGCCAAGCCTGAAGGCATAGGTAACACCGCCGTCCCTCTCCTCCGCCTCGCCGTCGCCCATCTCTTGTTTCAGTGTTTCTTCCACCTGAAAGCGTACTGGGGAGTTCTTTTCCTCAATTTCCATCACTCTACATTATTCTCTTTTACATTGTTTTATATGTGTGATACTGTTAAGGATCATCTTAACATAAAACGGGGTTCTAGTGTTCTGTCTTAGTCTAGGTTCTACTGACTAACCTTCAGCGGACTAACCTGTTTTCAGAGCGCTGCCAAAATGTTGTGGGAAAAATTAAAATTAGACCAATGTTAACGACCCAACAAGATCAGAGTTTTCCACGAGACCTGAGCTGCAATGTGTAATTTAATCTTGATGCCAAAAATAAGGTGGTGAGAGAGCATTGCCACGTCTGTCAACGTGTTTTTATGTGGCAGAGGGTGGCTATGATGATAGTGTAATGATGTGTAAATGTCACTTTTACATACCTACATACACCTGTTAGAGCTCCCAGGTGGCTTGCTGAGAACGGGCTCCTTTCCATTTTCTATTCCTTGTGGACAAATTTGATGTCATCATGTGTTGGTCCAGTACCGATAGCTGTTGTTGTTGCTGGCTTACAGGGTTTCAGGACATCATGTATGTGGGCGCTGCAATGAGTGCAATGAGCAAAGGCACGTCTGAAGTGGATGGCCACAAAATGGAGAAAAAGAAGTGAGTAGGGGAATGAGTGGATATTATTAGGAAGGAACAGACCCCTAGAAAAAAATGCCATGCTTTGAGTAATTTTTCCTCAAAACCTGATTTACATATTTTTCTTTAATTTTGTTTTGCTTTTTAATTCAGTGCCAAAAGAAATGTGCATAAAGTACTTAAATCAGAAGGACTGCTTTCGTTTGCCACCAATGATAAAATCTGTGGTCGTATAAAAAGGGACGGCAGTTCAGTCTGAGCTGGTGGTTCGTATGAAAAGGAATGAAGTGGTCCAGTAGTCATCAGGCTGCTACATATTGAATTAAATTAATTTGTGTTTCAGGCTTGAGTTGATGCTTTTAGCAGATGTAGCGCTTACACATATCTTAACTATTTATGAAGCTACAGTTTGTTAGGTTTATGTTAAATGTGTAATTTTGAGGTGCCGACGGTGTTACATCTTTTAATTTAAGGGTAGCATCCAAAGAGAATCCTTACAAACCTGTGTCGTGTAAAGATTCATCCCTCCTCTTCATAACATTCATTTTTGGAACAAACCTGATTTATTTTATTTGACTTTCTGCCTTAAGTGCACAAATGTCTGTATGTGGTCTGATTTACTCTTTGTTTCGTCTCCTGTAGGATGGACCGACTGCTGTGCCTGGACGGTGGAGGTATCAAAGGCCTGGTGCTGATCCAGATGTTGATCGCTCTGGAGAGAGAGGCCGGCAGACCCACCAGAGAGCTCTTCGACTGGGTCGCTGGCACGAGCACTGGGGGCATCTTGGCCCTCGCTATAATCCACGGTGCGTTTTTTTTTTTGGTCTCCTTTTCCTCTCCACGGCATTTTTTGTGACGTACAAACAATCAGCACAGTACTAATGCTTCTTCCATGTGCAGGTAAGTCCATGGAGTACTTGCGCTGCCTGTACTTTAGGATGAAGGAGCAGGTGTTCAAAGGGTCGAGACCCTACGAATCGGCGCCGCTGGAGGACTTCTTGAAGAAAGAATTCGGAGAGAACACCAAAATGACAGACGTCCAATTCCCCAGGTAGCTGTTCACACCAACAGTTGGCCCGACGCAAGGGGTAGCAAAGCAAAAAGAAAAGGAAATCACTGAAAAATGCTCTCCTCAGACATATTTAGAAGCAATGTACAATGTTCTAATGCAGTCCGGACCGGTCATTGCGCACCTAACAAATAATTGTTTTTACTATCAAAAAGTTTCCTAAACAAGTACACTTACTTTCTAAGTATGTGTTTACTTTTTCTTCTGTCTTAGCATCAAATCTCTCCCACTTTCCAAAGAAGCTCTCCGGAGACATTTGTTTTTGTTGTTCATTTCGGCCGCGGTTAGACTGACGGCTTCGTTTAACGGCTTGGCGTGAAAACTGACAGTCAAGTGCGTGAAACAAGCACAGATGGAAGTGACGGGAAGACTAGCTCGTCATTTTTCAAAATAAAACACCCTGCACGCTCCGATGGAAATAAAAATAAACCAATAAGATGTTTTTATTCTTTTTGTGCGGCCCGGTACCAAATGACCCACTGCCTGGTACCGGTCCACGGCCCAGTGGTTGGGGACCGCTGTTCTAATATCAAATAGCTGATAGTGTAAGCCAGCGCTACTGGACCAAAAGAACATTAGCACACATTTTTTTTTATTTTTTTTTTTTTAAACTTTCGTTTTTCCTATAAACTAGTAGGTAGTTTGTGCCATTAAAAAGCTTTAAGTGTCCTTTACTGTGGTTGGTTGAAAGTTTGAACTTAGTTGACCCTCCTGTGCAGTGTCCTAATTTTTTGCACGCCTGAATGCTCTGAAAAAATGCCTCAGCTGCTTAGAAACGTGTGCAAGTGGTCTCAACACACTGAAAAATTACGAACATATTTTTTCGTCATTTAGAGCAACTGCTAATTTTTAGATCTTAGGTAGAGTTACAAGTCATACCTTTTTGTTTGTATGAGCACCAATGCTGTAGTGCCTGTGTATATTTCTCCTGCCCTCTCTCCGTTATGCTTTCCACTCATTCGTCACTTTCTGCACAGGGTGATGGTGACCAGTGTTCTGGCAGACAGACATCCAGGCGAGCTGCACATCTTCAGGAACTACGACCCTCCGTCCGTCCACAGAGAGCCCCCGTACGCCACCACTGCCACGTTCAAGCCCCTCACCACCCCACAAGGTACCTCAAAAACTGCGTCTGTTGCCCCACTAGTCCTCGAATGTCAAATGTATTCGAGAGATAGTGGAGTATGTCGATCACACCACTGGATGGTGCCAAAGATAGCAGTTTTAGGAACCCACAGTTAATCGTATTCATTTCTGGTATGAGCTAATCTGAACAGGAAACAACCGCAAAGCACCAGGCAATGACATCTAAAAAAAGAAGGTTTCTAGGTCTGAGTTTATGTGTCATAATGTTGACGAGGAAGTCCGGTTGTGCTGTGTTGTTTGAGCGCCAGCCCTGTTGTTGTTACAGGATGGGAGGATGAGGATGTGTTGATAGTAGGATACACAGAGGAGCCGCCCAGAAAGCGTAGGAAGGTGACAGATGAAGGTGTGTGGATGGCTCAAAGCCACAAACTGTATTAGAAAGTCTTACATTTGTCACGGCTTGTGCTGTAGGAGCATCACACTTGTAGCAAACACTGTCACTAGTAACGGTAGCTTGGGAGCTCACTGCATTATAATGGGTGTTTATTTCAGCAAAGACTTAAATTACCTCACATGACCAAATAACTTTTAATTGGTTAGATTGCAGTGTTTACATTATGAATTATTGTTAAATACTGCTGGGAAGTAGTGAAATAACGAGGCATAGTGATCAGTGAGTTAAGGCCACTGTTCTATCGGTTTTCATCATAATGTCGTCTCTTTTTACACTGTGGTTATAAGAAACTGAATTAAAACTATATTAAAATGAAATTCAACTCAGTAAACCCAGATGAAACCCTGGTACGTGTCAGAGACTAAAAAGCCTCTGAAGGAAACGGGTTCCAAGGAATTTATTCTTGTCTGTTTCAATTTTAGCACCTCACAAACCCCAGCGTGTTCATTTAAATGCAGTCCTATAGAGAACACATGCTTCTGAGGATTTTTTAATAGCACAGCAACAAGTAAAACATGCTTCCACACTCCAGTCTCCTCAGATTAATGAGTTGTTTGCTGTTGTGCTATTTGTGCTTTGGTAAACATGTTTTTTGTTGTTCTCTGCAATTTGAAGTCTAACTGAGTTCTTTGTCTTTATATCAGAACAGCTTGTGTGGAGAGCTGCCCGCTCCAGCGGCGCTGCTCCTACCTACTTCCGACCAATGGGCCGCTTTCTGGATGGAGGGCTGCTGGCCAATAACCCGACACTCGACGCCATGTCAGAAATCCATCAGTACAACAAGGCCTTAAAAGCAGAGGTTGGCCGTCTGACAGCCGCAATCTAGTTTTATGTCTCTCTTGGTCTTTTATTAAGTGCACGTTCAACTGCTAACCCATATGGATTTGTTCTATTGGATCATTTATTCATCATTACTTATCACTGAATCATTTATTTATCTGTCTTTCAGTCTCACGAGGAGAACATCAAGAAGTTGGGCATAGTGGTCTCCCTTGGTACAGGTAGGTCACATAACTGTGTCTGAATGGCAAATGATGCTTCTGGTGGGTTTTACTGGATTCACTCAAGAGTTACTTTGTCGATATAAATGTGTTGTGTGTCCTGCATCTCTGTGTTCACTAGTTGTCATTTGTTTGTACACAATATCTGCACAACTGGAAGAAAGTATTTAAGTTACATTGAGTCGGGCCGAACTGAAGTCATATTATGTGTGATATTTTCTATAAACGGGCTGCAAGGTGGAGCAGTGGTTAGCACCGTTGCCTCACAGCTAGAAGGTCGCCGGTTCACGTCCCAGTGAGGACACCCGGGATCTTTCTGCGTGGAGTCTCCATGTTCTCCCCGTGCAGCGTGGGTTCTCTCCGGGTTCTCCGGCTTCCTCCCACAGTCCAGAACCATGTTGAGGTTAATTGGTGATTCTAAATTGTCCGTAGGTGTGAATGTGAGTGTGCTTGGTTGTCTGTCTCTAAGTGTAGCCCTGTGATGGACTGGTTACCTGTCCAGGTGAACCTGCCTTCGCCCTGAGTCAGCTGGGATAGACTCCAGCCCGCCACGACCCTATTGAGGACTAAGTGGTGTATGGATAATGGATTGATTTTCTATAAATTTCTATATTAGTTTTCTTGAACATTAATGTAGAATTGATCCTATTATCTGATCCTGTGACTATAACCTATAAAGAACAAAACTCTAGCAAATAAAACCCTTCCAGATACTGATACCTGGACTATTGGTGTCAAATTAAATGTGCCGTTGAAGCCTCAACAGCTGTGTTGTTATGCTTTTACCTAACAAGTTGTGAATAACTAGCTTGAGTTGACGGTCTGTGAGCGACGTCCCACTAATCATTTTCTTTTGAACACGTGTGTCTGCAGGTAAACCTCCTCAGGTGGTGGTGAGCTCTGTGGATGTTTTCCGGCCCTCCAACCCGCTGGAGCTGGCCAAGAGTTTTGTAGGAGCGAAGGAGCTGGGCAAAATGCTTGTGGACTGCGTGAGTACACCGCCACTCGTGTTTAAATCACCACCAGTTTCCACTTTTTACAATGCCTTTCAGGTTTCTTCATATTTTGTTCGTAATAACAAACAATCATAATATTCTAATAATACTTCGTTTGTCTTTTTAATTCCACAAACACGTGTCCAGTGTACAGACTCGGATGGCTGTGCCGTGGACAGGGCCAGAGCCTGGTGTGAAATGATCGACACCATCTACCACAGGTCAGCTGATTGCATCTTGTCACATCCCGCTGCCTCTGCTCTCTGCCTTATCTCTTTATCTCACTGAACTTTGGCTGACCATCTTGACTTGGTCCCCGTCTTGCTGTCCGTCTTGTTATCGCAGTGTTCATGCGGTCTTTTCAACCACTAGTTTATCTGACACGTTGTGCAACATGCTGTGCTCAGTGATGCCGACCAGATACGGCTCACAGAGAGTAAACATTCAGCTGTTACAGCAGACGTTATAACTGAATGAAAAGTAGGCTGATATATGTCAATGTGCTTCATACGCACGTGGACAGAATAGTTGGTAGCCCTCGGTTAATGAAAGAAAAACCCACAACAGTCACAGAAATAACTTGACAAAAGTAATAATAAATAAAAATTCTATGAAAATTAACCAATGAAAGTCAGACATTGCTTTTGAACCGCGGTTCAACAGAATTGTTTAAAAGAATAAACTCATGAAACTGTTTCATGAGTTTATTCTTTTAAATTTTTCTTTATTATTGCTTTTGTCAGATTCAGGTTATTTCTGTGACCGTTGTGGGTTTTTCTTTCATTAACTGAGGTGTACCAACTATTTTGTCCACGTGTGTGAAGCTGAGAGCACAGGACAGCAGCCAAATGTGCTGCGTGTGACGGTGATGACGCGCTGGAAAGTTGTCTGGGAAACAGAAGCAGTATTATCTGTAAAGTTCCAGATCTCAACGATACACGACTGCAGTTTTATCACACGACAAGTTTTCCATCACATGGATGTCACATCGAGTTGCCTTCTGGAGTGACCTTTTGAAGCTTGAATTTGTGTTAAATAATCAGCAGCATGTAGCTTGAAAAGCCTGGTTTTATCTAAGCCTGAGCTGCTTCTGAGTCAAGTGGACATATGATTGATGTGCATCTATAAGTCTGTAAAACACTGAGACAAGTTTTTATAAGTTCAGCCATGATTTCAGTCAGTTCCAATACATATTTCACATTAAGCTTTACAACAGTCAATGGGGCACAAATGCAGTTGCACAAGTTCATCGTTCTATTTAACCAGTTATGGAAACCACCTAAAAGGAAATGACAAAACACAAATCGAGGTGTGTCACAGAGAATGAAACATGAGTACTTGTTTTTTTTTTTGGCTTTTTTTACCCCCCCAGGGCCAATAATGATACCGATTATCTGTATTCACATTTGGAAACTATATATTTGCAGTAAGACAGAAAATCTTATTGTCAACATGTAGAATAAGACAAACCCCAACAGGAATTTTTAGTTGATTATTTATTGATGTATAATCAGTCACATCGTGCTGTGAGCAGGACATTGTTCAACGTGACTACAGCTCCAGAGAGGCAGCTGCATCACAGGGGTGGTAGATTTTTATCTAAATTTATTATCAGGAAATGGCTAAAATACTGATATGCAGAAGCAGACCCATTCTGTAGATTTTCACACACTGGTTGAGTTTCTGCTATTTTTACTGTGTGTCCCTCTTCACTGTTTCCGTTGTGGTTTTTTTTTTTGTGTGCAGACTGAGTCCCCAGCTCTCTCAGGAGGTGATGCTGGACGAGGTGAGCGATGCGGTGCTGGTGGACATGCTGTGGGAAACCCAGATGTACCTGTATGAGAAGAGGGATATCCTCCAGTCTCTGGCAAAGCTTCTACTGGACAACTGAAAGCACCAGAAAACCACAAGGAGGCTGGTGAGGAGTCCAAAGTGTTTGGACCAGGGCACAAAGATTAGAGAACCGTGTGTCTGGTTGGAGGCTCTCATGTCTGCGCTCTGTTGAAACACCGACACTGACTCGATCACACTGGCTTCCATATTTACACTGACAGTTGTGTAACCAGTAGCAGTAACTGGAAACTGACACGCGAAACCACTGACTTACTTTAACTTATTGAAAGGCAAATAATGTAGCGTCATGTGACCTTATCATGTTTCTTTTTTTTTTTTTTTTTCAAGCTTACTGTTTGTATATAAAACCACTGAAGGAGAGATGGTAGAGTCTTCCCCCTCTCCGCTCTGTGAATACAGGGGAAGTATAGAAGGAAGTAGTATGAACTGAATTCATCAAGAAACTGACTGTGACGGTGTTATCCTCCCCCTCTCTGCACTGTGTTGGGAAACAGAAACTTATTTCTCCTTTACTGGTTCCTCTTTTTCCACCCAAACGGCCACAAAGACGTTCGAGCTTCACACAGTTTCCCAAAAACCACACGATTGAAGGGATCCTGCAATAAAACCCAGAGAAAACCTGCGTTAAACTGTAGCTCCACTGATGGTGGTGGTGATGAACCAGTTCTGCCTTACGTGTCTGGGGACCGTATTTGTACCATTTTCCTTTCTTCTTGCCACAACACGTCACATTTTCATGCCTTTGCAGGTTATTTATACTGACTTTAACCCCCATGTTCAGCCTCACACCTGTTAATAACTTGGTTTCTCACTGTACACTGTAAAAACCTCTCAGTCTGCTGTACAAGTGTTTCGAGTGCATATTTATCTTGTAACTGTGGTGGAACATAGACTTGAATCATAAAGTTACTTGAGGGACAAAGGAAAAGCGGACCTGCTGCTACTTCCACAAACCTAACAGGAGGCAACAAATGATTTTCTCTGTTTTTGTATCTGGATTAATTATTGAAGTGTGTACTAGTATGGTAATAAAATACGTTAATACTGACCATGGCTGATTTGGTTCTTTGTAGTTGAATTAATCTGAGTCACACTGATCCACTTTGTTTTAATAATGAGGAATAAAACAGGCCTATATGTTGAATGGTCGTCAAATAAGAAACCAATAAATGGCAAACATATTCATTAAGATGATGCTGCTGTGATCATTTTGGCCATGAAGACAGCCTACAGTCGTCCTCAAATGTATTCATAGCCTCCCATTAAAGAAGGAAAAAAACAGCTTCAGTCACTGAAATAAGTTGAAATTCACAAAAGTATTAATAAATAAAAAATGAATGAACCTCATGACATTGCTTTTGAATTGTGGTTCAACAGAAATATATATAAAAAAAAAGCCTGATGGGACCCGTGAACTAATATCTAGTTGAACAACCCTCTGAGCCAATCACTGCCATCAGGTGTTTCCTGTAACTCTCAGTCAGACTTGTGCACCTGTTGACAGGTATTCTGGACCACTGCTCATCAGCAAAGTGCTCTCATTTGTCCGGGACAGTTTTTATATTTATTTTTTTTTAATTAATCTTTTCAACCACAATACAAAAGATACATCTCATTTCACTAAATTATAATTTAGCAATTTTTTATTTATTATTACTTTTTTCAGTTTCTACTTATTTGAGTGTGAATTTTGCCTTTTCTTTAATGGAAGGGTTTGAATACATCTGAGGACGACTGTATCTGTAGAGAATTGGCCTTTGTAGTAACTCAGGAGGAGAGGGACGTATTGACGGGGAAACAAACCTTATTGACACAAAACACAAATCAGTGACAGTACAAATATCTAATAAAAAAAATAACAAATTTTATTTATAGGCACATTTCACAAAACTCAAGGACACTTTACAAGCAACAATAAGCAAAGTTAAAAACTTAATATAAAACCTAGAAGGAGGAAATTTAACAGAGCAGAAATTTTATAACAATTTAAAACAGACGTTTTGCAGTGAGATGAATGAAAGTCATGGTGAGTGGGCTTTTTTGAACAGGTGGGTTGTGAGACATGGTTTTTGTCAGGATGAAGGGAGTTCCTGAGGCGGGGGGCCGAGTGGCTGAAGGCTCTGGACCCCATGGTGGTCATGTGGGCAGGAGGGACGGTGAGGCAAAGGGAGGAAGATGATCTGAGGGTCCGGCTGGGTGTGTTTAAGAGTTCAGTAAGGTATGGAGAGGCGAGGTCATGGAGGGCCTTGAAGGTTGGAAGGAGGGTTTTAAAGACATCGTGGTGTGTGATTGGGAGCCAGTGAAGCTGTTGGAGAACAGGGCTGATGTGGTGGACAGATGGTGTTCTTGTGGTGATCCGGGCTGCAGCTTTCTGAACCAGTTTATGGAAGGACTTGAGGAGGAGACCAGAGAGAAGAGAGTTGCAATAATCCAGGTGGGAGGTGACCAGAGAGTGGACCAGGATGGCGGTGCTGACAGGGGGGAGGGTGGGTCGGAGGCGGTTCAACAGTTAACTAATACTGTGTTTAATATACATGTCACCCTTAAAGAAAACTAGACTGTAAAACAACCCGTCTAACTACAGTAGTTTATGGTATAATACAATGTGATCATATTCACTACCTGCTCAAGTACACAATAATGCAAATACTGGGAGAATTTAGGCAAAACCAAATGATAGAAAACAGATTTACTTTCCAGAGTAAAGACGCACCTCTTTGAAGACCCTCTCTGATGAAAAAAGCCTGCGGTTTTTACTTTGTGAACATGTCCGTATGGTGTGTTTTTATGTGCTGGAGGTCGTATCATGAGCAAAATGAGCAGTAAATGACTGAACATTTACACCATGAACCTGCAGTGTTCTTATGAAGGTGGGACTTTCAGTATCATTACACTTCTTCTGCATTTGGTTTCCAGTTTCAACATGAACGGCAGAAATACTGCAATGTTACAGCCTGTCATTACGTCCTGAGTAGCTAAACAGTTGCTGAGAAGAGTCGCCTGTGAGCTGGTGTGCTCCAGCTGCAGAGAATGGGGAGCTGTGGGTGCAGGGAGAGGGTATATTTACGTCTAAGCCATTTTAAGGCAGAAGGAGATTCACAGGCACAAGATTTTTGAGGTTTGACCAACAAACAGAGAGGGTCTTTAAAGCCGTGTAAACTGTCTTGATTAGTTATGGAACAGTCTTGATGCTGAAATGTGACACAAATCATATTCAGACTTTGTCCTGTGTGCAATGAAAACATGTTGAACACACTGTATGGGCTATAGCTAGTTTTATATAAATAAAACAGCAGCTTGCAGGCTTCCTCTTATTTGACATAAGATTGGTTTGTGAAACGTTTGAGAATGTGAGACATTAGTTGAGAGCAGCGTTCTGACTCTAAAACTGCAAGAGTGAAAAGAGTTGGTGTCACTTCCTGAAACAAGCAGCGAGTCCTCATCAGTGTGATCTTGAAGTGCCAAGACTCTAAATGTGAGCCTGGTCATCATCAGCCAGCTGCTGTAAATAACTACTAAAGTGAGACCAAACGGAAGTGCAGCACAGAGTTTATGAAGCGAGCGTCTTTCCAGTTCTGTTGCTGCATCCAGCGCCTTTAAGTCTTTGTTTGCTGTTTTGTACAACTTCTAGTTATCCTCTGCCTGGTCAGTGTGCCTGGAAGTAAAGAGAAGAATACAGTCATTAACTGAGGTTTAAACATGCAGCGGTGCATTTTACAAATACTATTTTCTCAGTTTATCACATTTCAGTGTCAAAAAGCTTAAGAATTCGAACCCACGGCCGCTGCATCGGGGACTACAGCCCCTATACATGGGTCACCAGCTCAACCGGATGAGCTATAGCAACGGCCCAAGTTACCCCTTTCAATTGTCCAAGACATCTTAATGTCATACAGTCTAACTTGTAATAAGCCCCAGAATTCCTACAAGAGACATCCATCCATCCATCCATTATCTATACATAATGGGGTTCCAATTGTGGAAACGAATGAGTGAAAATCAACAGTATTAAAACAAGAACGCCAACCACAATATCTTGGTGCATCATGGAATCCCTTCTGGACTGAATCTGATTGGTCTTGGGTTCATATACCAACAAGACAATGAGCCCAAGCACACTTCAAAGCTGTGCAGAGACTATCTGACCAAGAAAAAGGAACCTGGAGTTCTGGAACTGATGGACTGGACAAGTCAAAGTCCACATTTGAATCCTATTGATCAAGTTAGGACATTGAAAGATTGATCGCACAAAAGTTTCATCTAAAGCAAGTCTGTGGGAGCAGTTGGAAACTGAAAACAACTACAAAAGGTGTTGTGAGATTTTTAAAATGACAAAACTGGAGATATGATGAAGATAGTCAAATCTGATTAATAGGACTAAACTGAATTCATGAATATACTGAACAATCCTGTGTAAAACCCAACCCAGTGGAAGGCCGGACGCCCAGCTCTCTGTACATGTTGGTGAGGTGAAATCAAGGTCACCAGGGCCTGGCAGAGAGGGGGTTTCTGGGGTGGGTGGAACTCCCCAGTTGCTGGGAGGGGAAAGAAGAGCACCCTGATTGTGAGTGTCAGATTGTACCATCAAGTATACATTAATGCTGACAAAGGTTGTTGACTGGTATCAAAGAAGATGGGTTGAGTTTTCATGGGTAGCAGGAGAGTTGGGAGAAGTTGCATAAATATGTAAGGACATGTATGGCATTGTTTGTTGGTGAAAATCTCGAGATTTTGCTCATATTTGTTCTTGTAGCCTCTGTATTGAATAAACA